TTGGGATCAGGAGAGGATCCCTGAGAGGGTCCCTTAAGTTTGAGGCTCTTTCACTTTCTGTCTTCTTCTCTGTCTTTCCTTGACGCTCCTCTTTTTCAGTGGGCAGCAGTGAGGACTTTAGCTTCGTGATCAGCTCGTCTGTGTTCTTAAACACACTGAAAGAGCAAAATGGACAAGTTAGAACATGTAGAAATTTCTTTTTGATTAATCTATCCATGTATTTGAAGATTTTGTTGTTATGTTTTATGATTTCTGACAGCTAGAGAACATGTATGATATTGCTACCATCCCAAATGTTGGCATTAAGCATTTTTCTTTTTAAGAGACAATTTAAGTGACCAGAAAAATGTGGAAAAATAAATATCATTTTTGATGTGATTTCCAACACTGAAGATTTTCAGATGCACACAAAGTTTGAAAAAAAAAACTGCATTTACCTAAAATAGAAATAGTGATTTGTAACTTTGTACATTTTGGCCATGATTCTTTCAAAAATATAGACATTTCCAAACATTTAAACAATTGTATGTCTGCCCATGTAAAGTTTATCTAAATAAAGCTGCATAATTGTACATATAATTGGCTTAATTCTTCTCTGCTACCCCATGACTAAGTTGCATCCTATTATAATGTAATAAAAGTTTGCAACATATTGCACTCTATTAACATGGGTCTTGCCTGAAATGTCCAAAAAAGTCAGAAAAGACATTTGTACTGATGACAGATTGAGAGCATAAAAACCATACAGTTGCACCAAATAAATTCACAAACCTTTCAAACGTCTGCAGATTGGCTTCATCAACATACTCACTGATGTTAACGGTGAGATCAGTTACTTTTTCTGTCTTGGAGTCCTGCAAAGATGTGACAAAAAAAGTGTAAAAAACATTCAGTCTGATATTAATCTATCATCTGTGATGATAGGCAGTGCAGTAATAACTGAACGGCATGTAATTCAGCTTAATTAACTTACCATTAGATTGAAGATGAGGGTTGAATCCACTGTGAAGGCTTTGAGCAGTAGGTTTGACTTGTCATCATTGGATCTGTATCTGAGTGCATACAGATCCTTGCTTTCATTCCAGCCGGGTGGAAGCAGCTCTGACTTCTTCTCTCCATCTTTAGGCTGCGTGGAAAATCGATCATTTCTAATCAGGCAAATGTTTGTGATACCTTGCACCAAAACAATCTAGTAAAGCATTTGCTGCAGATGCCTGTTGGCTTGATAGTGTATGACCATCAGACATTTTAAGTGTGACTTAAGTGTCTTTTTGTATAACATTTCAGTAAACACACATGCCTTCTATCGTTACTTTTTGTAAGAGATTATCACGTATACGCAGTCAAAGTAACCATTGACTTACCTCATCTCCAATGCCCAGACATTTATAGCCACCTTTCACGATTTCCCAGTGTACGAAACAAATCAGAGCATCTTGGGAACAGGTTAAAGAGTTTGACACGCAGTTGAAGAGCAGCTCCAGTCCTGCCATCTTTAAACACAGTGATATTCCGAAGAAATGAAACCAAAACAAACCGCTATCTGTGTGAAAATAAACAGCGACTTCACTCTGAATGCATGGCGTATGAACGCTGCAGCTGACACGCTAAATATTTAGTTTAAACTGTAATATTACGTGTTTTTTGCAGGTATATAGGTTTTTTAAACTTGAATTTCACAAATGTTTATTGCTAATTTGGTTTGTCATGCTGAAGCAGTCCGACCAGAAATGTTCCCGACTGGAAACAACTGACTGAACGTGCGTTCCGTTGACATTTAAAGCGAAGGGATACTTTTGGAAAAGAGTTCTTTAAATAATTTCAAAAATCTGATTTATAAGACGCTGTCTCTATTAAGACACTGATAAAATATAGCACCCGTTATAATTACATACATTTTAACCCGAATATTTTAGAGTTTATTCGAATTATATGGCCCTTTGTTTGCCTGGAAAAGTTTGGCGGTTTGTCTGTGGAGTTTAGTGTGTTGTCCTATAAAAGAACGTGCGCTTGCGCGTGCCTCAAAAGAGGGCTTACAATGACTTAGA